AAAGGAAACCATTTTCATCCTTCTTTTTTAAGAATTATGAAATGTCATACTGTGGAGATGTATTAGGGATTATTTATCCATGTTTGCAGTAACACATACATGGGTTCATGTCCAGTTTTCTGTTAGTATAACAAGTACTCTAATAAGTTTTCTTTATACTTTATTGAATGTATTCTTAAAATTAGGTATATAGTGGATTACTAGTCTATAAGTATATGCAAACTAGGTACTGGTGGCTCACACTTAACAATCCTAGCTACTCAACAGGATCCTGGCTCAAAGTCAACCTGGGTTGAAAAGTCTGTGATACTCCATCTCCAATGAAACAGCTAACTGCCAGATAGGAGGTCTAGGTTAAGTGGTTGAAGTGTCAGCACAGGAAAGCAGAACAAGTGCACATTCTGATAGAGGGAAGGGGGAGTAAGTACAAATCAGGAGCAGAAGGCTCATCCTGTAATCCTAGTAGGTTGGGAGGCAGAAGATGGGAGGCCAGCTCAGACGGAAAAGTTGGGGAAACCCTTCTCAACCAGTAGCTGGGTGCAGATGATGCATGCCTGTTATCCCAAGCCTTAAGGGAGGATGTTGGTTTCAAACCAGCATAGGTAGAAAGGTCCAAGAGACTCCATCTCACTGGATGAAGTGGTGTGTACCTGTGATCCCAGAAGTTAAGAGGAGCCTAAAGTAGGCAGAGTGTGGCTCAGGGATGTACTTCAGTAGGAAATGAAAGCCTATCTCAAAACTAGTCAGTGAAAAGCAAGGACTTGGAACCATGGTTCAAGTGGTAGAGCACCAGCCTAGCAAATGTGAGGCTGAGTTCAATCCCAATACCTCCAAGAGTAAACATAAGTCTGTCATTACTTGTATAGGCATTGAGAGACATTTCCATATTGTCCCTAAAGACACTCAGTTCTCTTAATATGAATGTACATACATTTTCTTCAAAACATTCAGTTTTGTGTCTAGTGTTATATGCAAAGGATGATTGCTGTAATTATGTCTTGCCAATGTGTACTTAAACTAATTATTCTGTAAATATTCATTGGACTTCTAATGCTGTAAATCACACAACCACTACTCAGTAGTCTATAGATGACAGACTGTAATACTAAAAAAGCAGTTGCTAAATTTGGAGGCAGAAATTAATTCATTTCTTTGCAATAAGAGTCAATTCTGTTCAAGGAATCCATTTAGAAACTACTCCAAAAGAAAAACGCAAACATAGAAGAGTGAGGTAGATCATTTGTCAGTTATCTGGACAATGCTTATTTTCTAGATACTTAAAAATGTTAAATTTAGAGTTATAGGTAATGCCATTCCAATACCCTAAAGAAAAATGTGTATGTATGTGTACATGTATGTGCATTCTAAGGGACCTAATCAGCTCATGTTTACATGTGTGTCTCATGTCTTCTTTTCTGTTCTTTTGCCTTTTTGATGGAGGACCCCTAAATCCATTTTTATTATTTCCTTCCATTGATCTCATATATCTTCAATATCTTCAAACGGCAACCAGAATTTAAATGCATATTACATACCCTACATTATGCAAAATGCTATGAGCACAGGATACTCACTGATTTTCTGATCTGGGCTTACATCATGGATTGACTCACACTGAACCCTGCCCAGGCATAACTGTATCTGAAAGGGCATCATGTTATGCAGGTAAACTGTGAATAGCTAGCTCACATCTGGGATTGGGATGATGGTGGAGCAAGAGGTAGAGAATGTACTGAACACTTCCCAGAATGATTGATCAAAGCAGTGATGACCTGTATTTAGGCAAGTCAGCAATGTGCTAAGGTGAAGGGGCAAAGACCTAAAGGGATAAAGACCTGCACTGAACTCCCAACTCAGTCATTCAGTATTTTTGTTTTCTTAGCTCTACAATGAGGGGAGTAGTTGTTATAAGAAAACAATGAGATAATCTTTGTAAATATAAGATGATGTTAAGCGAACTGAACACCAAGATATGGACGCAAGAATTTTTTTTCTTTGTTGCTGTTGTTTTTTAATGTACTGTGTGATTTTTTTGTTTCTTTTGTATCTTCTTCCCCCCTGTGGTATAACCCCTGTTGTCAATGTATTTGATTCTGGTGTCCTGCATCTTGTATATATATTTTTTTCTAATTTGGGGAGGGGAGGGGAAATAACAAAATGCTGAAACAAGGGTACAGGTTGACCCATTGTAACAATGAGACACACAAGACACTATGTTGAAAATTAACTTTACAACTTCAGGTGGGGACGGGAAGAGTTGGGGAGGTAGGGAGGGAAGAGGTAGTAGGGAAAAACAAAGGAGGGGTAACAATGCTCGATAGGAAATGTACTCATTACCTTACTCATGGAATTGTAACCCCTCGGTACAGTACTTTATGTGGCATGTAGTGGATACAAAGAGGTATTATAGTTATTTCAACTATTATTATGAGTACCATTATGTTCCAGCTCCAAACTTGCAAACCTTGATATTTATATTACAGTTTTCTTCACATGGACAGCATGTTAGAAATTCAGCCAGGAGCAGATAGTCGTTCTACTATCCAGAAAATATTTTCACAATATAACTACAGCAAAATAGGGGCTCAACTCATATTTCACAAGTAAATTATGGTCTGTTAATGTCTGCTCTCCCAGTTTGAACTTGTTGCTTTTATAACAATACAAAACTGAACAGTTGTGTGAGAAATAGAAGTACATATCCTAAATATATAAATGACCACATTGAGATGTCTCCCAAAGTTGTGCTGTATTTATAAACATAATTTTATCTTAAACAGCATCTTCAATATGGATCACATACAATTCAAAATGTGTAAACTGCTTTTAAACATGTTTAAAAAATCTTGCCTAAAGGAGATTAAAAAATGTTTTTTTTGTAGGATTTATATGTTTTCATGTCTGTTTTTGTTTTTGCTGGAGGGGTTTGAGCTCCAGGTTTGTTTTTGCTAAGCAAGCGTTCTATCACTGGAGCAGCCACCCCCACTCCAGCCCTTTCTGCTTTCAGTTATTTTTCAGATAAGGTCTTTGTGCCTAGTGTATTCTCAAACATGACCCTACTACCTCCATATTTCATATAACTGGAATTACAGGTGTGTTACCACCATATCTGGCTTGTTTTTGAGACAGTCTCGCTAACTTTTTTTTTTTTCTCCAGGCTAACCTGAAACCACGGTCCTCTTCTTTGTCTCATAAGTAGCAGGGGTTGTAGCACATACCACAATTTCTGGCCTGAGAGAGAAGTTTTTAAATCAAAATTATAAGTTGATTTTTCACAGGAGAAACTAAATGAAGTTAAAAGTTTTAGGGAAAAATTAATATAAATCTCATAGTCCAAATCTTTTATGATTTTTCATTTTATAGTATTTATCCTAAAATATATCTTGCCAGGCACTCAAATACTTTCTCCAGTGCTGGCTATGATTAATTTATAAAAAATAAAAAAATATGATTCTCTTTCCTTTATGTGTAAAACGAATGAAACATTTTCTAATGACGAAATGCACTGTCCCCTAAAATAATGTTTACTCCTTTTATGATTCAATGAAATTTAATTTGGTTCATTCTAAAATTCTGTGGTAATCTTTTAGTAGTACATATTCTAAAACACAAATGTGAGTGTCATAAAACAGGCCTTGAGAAGGAAATACTATCATTAACCTTACTTTGTGGCTTTTCTCCTAAAGAATGAAAGTTAACAATGACTTTTTCTGAAGGATTCATGAGCTTATGGGAAGTCCCATGATGTAGTTCCCATGATACCCCTCTTTAAGTTGGTCCTTTAATGCAGTCATGTGATAACAACATCTGCTATACATCTGCTCTTTCCTAGGTCTATGTTATAATGACTAAAACTACAGAGTTAGAATTGGAAGGAAGGAAGAAAGGAGAAAGAAAGAAGGAAACAAAGACAGAGGGAAAAAGGAAAGAAGGAAGGAAGGAGAGAAGGAAGGAAGGAAGGAGAGAAGGAAGGAAGGAAGGAGGGAGAGAGGAAGAAAGGAAGCAAGAACAAAGGCAAAGAAAGAAGGAAAATACAAAAAGAAAGAAGGAAGGAAGGAGGGAAAGAAAAAAGAAGGAAGGAATGGAGGGGAAAGAGAAAGAGAAAGAGAGAAGGGAGTGAGGAAGGAAGAAAAAAGAAAGGAAGGAAGGGAAGAAGGGAGGAAAGGAGGGAAGAAAGCAAGCAAAGAAGGAGAAGGAAAAGAAAGAGAAATAAGGAGAGAGAGAAAGATGGAATAAAAGAGGGAGAAAGAGACGGAAACAAGAGAGAAAGAAGTAGGAAAAAAGGAAGGAAGGAAGGGAAGGAGAGAGAAAGTGAGGGAAGAAGAGAGGGAGGAGAGAAAGAAAGGAAGACAGAAGAAGAAAAGAAGTGAAGAAAAGAAGGAGAAAAGGAGGGAGGGAAGGTGGATGTTGTGCATGTAACTAATGGGGTCTATCACTGTAATTGAGATTATTTGACTCAGTTATTTTTTCCTGCTCTCACTTCACCATATTCCAATGAGAAAATCAGATCACGTGACTTAATATCACACAGCCAATTCAGGGTACCTTCCATCCAAAAGGGTTATTAGACCTTAGTGAGTGGTTTATGCCTATAACTGCTGCATTCAGGAGGCAAAGACAGGAAGATGGCCAGTTTGTAGGCCTGTCAGGACTACAGAGCAGCAATCTGTCTCAAAATAAAAAAAATGGTTATTTAGCACAGAAAATATTATTATTGGGCTGGGAAGGTGGCTCAGTGGTAGAGTCCTTGCCTTGCAATGTATGAGGCCCTGGGTTCGATTCCTCAGCACCACATAAGCAAAAAAAAGAAAAGAAAAAAAGCCGGAAGTGGTGCTGTGGCTCAAGTGGTAGAGCACTAGCCTTGAGCTGAAGAGCTGAGGGACAGCACCCAGGCCCAGAGTTCAGGCCCCACAACCGGACCCCCCCCAAAATATTTTTATTACCATACACGGTCAGGTGAATGACTATAACAATTAATTTCTCTCACTTTTTTTTTGCAGGATTGCGGTTTGCTGATTCACCCAGAGGAAGCCTGTGGGTTGCAGCCCATTTCTTCAGACTACATTGAAGCCATTTCACACCCTGAACTGAAGAGCTGTCCATCTGGGGACACAAAAGGTGACTAACACATTGGATACCATGCCTTTTAAACAAACATCTTTCATGTTTATCCTTGTGATAAAAATTAGGGTTTTGTGGGAACGGCAATGAATATGATGAGTATAAATTCAGAGTTGCAACATGTGAAATACTTTGGTTAGCTGAATTCTTTTCTCTCCTCCATCTCTTCATAATATTCATCTGCAGATTGCAAGTCTTTATGCCTTTAATTCATTTTCTTATATATTTCATAACATTCTGTGCCTTTTGCCATCATAATGAGAGACCTTGAAATAACTACATATGTCATTAATTGTGCAACATTCCATCAGAGATATCAGCCTCATGAGGATAGTCTGCTTTGTTCATATGATAACAATTCACTTGACACCATAATTTGCACAAAGTTGGTAAGAAAAAAAATATCAAAGAACGGCCAAGGATACAAGTTCAGGTTTAGAGAATTTTTTTCACAAAAATAATCCTTAGGGATGACTATTGATATCCCCCAACTTGTGATCATTAATAGGGGTAGGAGAATTAAGACAACAGAGTCAGATTACAGTGTTAAATCCTGCCTAAGCCCTAAGTAGACCTGAGACTTGTGTGGTGCTTCTCTCTTCATTCCGTTTGATCCTTCTGTAGCCATCTTCTTTCAGTGGAGATATGGGGTCAAACCAGAACTAGGACTAAAAAAAAATGCATCCAAAGTGATAAAATAGCAGGGAACATCTTCTCCAGGCTACTTACCTGGTTACCGTTCCACCCTCCCAATTTCAGGTCCGCATTCATCTAAAAACAAAACAAAAACAAAAAATCTAAGAAAGCACCCAGGAGCACTTCTAACCATGCCATGAACTTCACACTACTGCTGGTTAGGAAATGTGTTTCCCAAATGAGCAGGGCAAATTGCAATTTGGCACGCACAGTTACTAAACGTAGGAATGTCCCTGTTCATGACATGTGTTCTAAATAATAAATTCCAGCCAGTGCGTGGGGAGGGATTTACCCATTATGGTGTGTCAGGTGGTATGATTTGTGAGTCTCTGCTGAAAGAGACATACTCTGAACGTACGAAGGACATTGTGATATATCCAGTTCAATTTTTCTAAATTAGATAACCATTTATGACAATCATAAAACAAGTTAATTGTATTCCTCCTACTGCAGCAAGTCAAAAGTACTTTGACAATCACTTTCATGAGTGTAGGATTTCCTGTGTAGTGGCTGCTTGTTCTTGCCCATTCAGTGTGCAGTCATGTCCGTCCAGCTCTGCATGTGATGTCTCTGCGTTTAAGACCTTGAAGGAAGGGTTGGTAAAGACTAGCAGACTTGCTGGTACTAGATCACATGGGTTTAACATGGCACAAGATTGGTTCCTTCTAGGAAAGTCCTCCTATGTTGACTGCTAAAGCAAGCTTGAAAATTCAAGCCTTCTGTACTCATTACCTTACTCATGTAACTGTAATCCCCCTGTATAGTATTTTTACAATAAAAATATATACAAAAAATTCAAGCCTTCTTCTTCCAGTTCCTTTCCTACCTCTCTTACCACCTATCAGCCTCTTTGCCTCCATTCATACTGATAAAGCTGTCTCAGGGCTCCTGGCTCTTTTCCATACTCTTCCTCCCAGATGAAAGACCTATTCCTGATGCTGTATCTTCCTCTCCAGGGAGCCTTTCTCCACTACATTCCCTGTCTACCTTCTCCTCTGTGTTCCAGAACAACCCTAGGAACAAATCTCCAATGACACTTGTCACATTCTGTTTGTGTGCTTACAGGTTTCTTTCTCTCTGACCATCAGGTATGGGGAGGCCACAACACAGGGGAATTCAATGTTGGGAAAGCCAGTAAAAATAAAAATGTATGTTCATTTCCTTTTTATCTAATCATTTTCATCCTTAAGTTTTGTAATTGACGTAATACATAAATACAGGAGTATCTGTACATATATTATTACAGTGTGCGTGGACTACTACGTCAAAGGTGCCTGAGACATGCATTTTACTGATGACTTCCCTAGATTAGTTGTTTCTCCAGAGCTTGAATTGCCCTTATTCATCTTGTAGTGTGTAATATATGACTAAGTAAGATTACTGAATTGAAGACCCACATTGTTCTCTGCCTTCCACTGAAGACATTGAGCAGAAAGGGCATAGTCACTATGATGAACTTTTCCTCTCATGGCTCCTAAAGACCCACAGATGCAGAGTTATTGAGTGAGGTCAGGTTACTGTTCAACAGAAGGTATTATTTGTTGTCAGAGATTATTCTTTCTTTGGTTGCAGAATCCTGTCTTGTTGAAAAGACAAGTTGTCTTCGACAATAGCAATGGAAGGATGTGTTTCCTTAGGAGGTCTAAGTTTAGCTTACATGGTCAAACAGACTGGTCCCAAAATCCCATTTTAATAGCAAATTATAGTTATTTGAACCTAACATCCCCCATGGGCTAAGCAAACACTCTACCACTGACCCATATCCTCAGCGCCAAGGAATCTATAGTTTTTACAAGACAATATACTGATGTAAACATGTCTTTTACAACAACACTAGCTAATAATATACTTTTGAATTCCTGTGTTTTTATTCTGATATTGATCAAATAACTTATCTGTAAGATAAAGTCTGTGACTTGAATACAATGTTCAAGAAAAAAAATAATTCTATTCTGGAGAATGAAGAAATGTTTATTGTGATCACTGAATGAGAATTAACTAAGGACAACAACTCAACAACTCAAATTGCATTTTGTGTGTGTGTTCACTGGTCCTGGGGCCAGAATTCAGGGCCTGGAGCTTGAACCTGAGACCTGGACACTGTCCCTGAGCTTTTCTTGCTCAAGGCTCTATTATATAAGCCATAACTCAACTTCTGGCTTTTTTATGATTAATTGGAAATAAGAATCTCATGGACTTTTCCACCCAGGATGGCTCTGAACTGTGATCCTCAGATCTAAGTCCCTGAGTACGTGTGAGCCTATTATATTACAGGTGTGAGCTACTACCACCTGGCTCAAAGTACATTTTAAAGGAGGTAAATAATGAAAATATTTCATTATGCTTTTTTTTTTTTTTTGCTGGTCCTGAGGCCTGAACTCTGGGCCTGGGCACTGTTCCTCAGCTCTTCAGCTCAAGGCTAGTGCTCTACCACTTGAGCCACAGCGCCACTTCTGGCTTTTTCTGCTTATGTAGTACTGAGGAATTGAACCCAGGGACTCATGCATGCAAGGCAAGCACTCTACCACTGAGACATCTTCCCAGCCCCCATTATGCTTTATTTGTCCCAGTAAATGATGACAATATTCTAATAATTCTAATACTGAATGTATAGATTTTTAAATCGTAACAAAAACCAATTTTGTTTCTGACAACTATATAGCCAAGAATCAGTGCTAATATTTACATGATTTGTATATAACTGTGGACCCTCAATAATAATATTTGACTTTTTCTTAATTATTATCACCCAATCGAATCCACTACTATATCTGAAATCTAACTTGCATTCCACATACACCCATAACTACAAAAAATAACTTATCATACAGCTTAGTGTCATTCCTCAGAATGTTATTCCTTAAAACATGTGTCATAGTCTATTTCAGAAGGCATAACCTTGATTCATTCAGTGTTTAAATTTATAACATAGAATTTATATCCCTCCTTCTGGACAATTGTAGTCAAGAATTGGTGTCATTTAAAATGCCAGAAATTTCCGTCCTACAGATGTTATACAGATGGCTATTTCGAACAGCCGCAGTAGTTCTCAATAAATAAATTCACAAAAGGCAAAGGTTATGATGGTATAAATATATAGTTGGTAGAACCATTAGTCTTCAGAGACCAAATCAGGCATCTTATATATGCATATGATTTTATGCCCACATACTAATTACATCCATATTTGAGTCTGACTATGAACCATTATTTTCTTCATGCTAAGCAGCAAGGGCCCAAGGGGGGCCTCCATGTGCAAAAATTAGCTATCAGCAAGGATGGGAGATACAGAAGTCTGGGTGTTCATAGGACATGGATACTCTGGGATCTGGTGAAACTTACAGAAAAACATTTATGGCCCTCACATACTGTCATTCCATTAAAAAGAAAATCAGCAGCAGTTGTTTAAACATAGTCTTAGCCAACACATGAGCCCTTTGAATAAATTCAGCTTTTTAAAATAAAGAAAAAATCATTACAACAGCCAGTTTGTGTGTTTTCTTATCAATGGTACCAAAGGAACCATTGTACATATATTATTTTCAGCTTATGATTTTGCACTAATCTAGACTAGCAGGATAGCAGCACCAACAAATTGGAGACTTGATTTGGTCAGGTCTGCCATGAGCTGAATGGACTGCCGTATAATCTATTTAACTCTTTGTGCCTCAGATTTCTTCATCTGTAAAGCAAGAGGGTGGAAAGCACAGGCTCTATGTCTCTCCTGAATCAAGCAAAGCTGATTCTGTAGATCCAGTGATTGCAAAGTTTGGTAATAAAAAGGCTGTCTTTTCTTCAGGGGGATTTTCTTAAGGCATCTATCAACAAAGTCTAACTTTGAATCAAATAGTACTGGAAGAAGCCAAGCAAGGATGTGGAGATGGTAGATTGCTAGTTATAAACCATGTATATCAGACGGAAATTAGAAAGCAAAGAGGTGCTTAGAATGAAAAAGAAAATCTATAAAAATGATTTTGCCAGTGAAACAGGCACTGAAGGTAATCTTCACTTTGCCATTCACAAATTGAAACTTCTCTCACATTTATTTTAATAATATTGCTACTTGCTACATATGAAAACTTTGGAAATATCTTTTGCCTAGCAGCTCTACTTTTTCCTCAATGGATATAGTCTATGTAGGGGCATGTCAGCATTCAGTCTTGTTTCTGTCATGTTTACCCCTTCCTTCTACGGTACTACCATCATAGAAAAATATCTCTGAATCTTACCTATCCGTAAAGCTCTGTTCACATCATTCTCTCCATAGAAGCTTCCAGAAAATCCTTACCTCCATGACATTCACTTTATTCTGAATCACCATGGCTTACTTGGAGTTGGGCATGGAACATGGAATAAAAGATACTGATAACCTACTAGGTACTAGGTACATGGCAGATGCTGTTCACAGTTTTCTTCTAAATAAATAAATTTATTTTCTCTCATCTTTGGAAGCTAGACTTGGTTTATAAACATATAAGTAAATATGTTAGGTGCTATGCAAGTGTATATATACAAAAGTATTAATTGAAATATGGTAGATTCAAGGGGGACTCAAATAATGTAATTTCTTAGAAAGGAAAAGTTGAATGAAATAAACACCAGCAAAAAGGTACTTGAAGGAAGAATGGGATCAAAGGGAGAGGAGTAGATGAGTGAAGAGAAGTGGGGAGAATTCATTCAAGAATTCAATGTCGGGGCTGGGAAGGTGGCTCAGTGGTAGAGTGTTTGCCTTGCATGCATGAGACCCTCGATTCCTCAGTACCACATAAGCAGAAAAAGTCAGGAATGGCACTGTGGCTCAAGTGGTAGAGCTCTAGCCTTGAGCTGAAGAACTGAGGGACAGTGCCCAGACCCAGAGTTCAGGCCCCACAACTAACCAAAATACTAATTCAATATATGTTCTATAAAATTAAGAAAAGTCAGGGAAGAAGTAGGCTCAGAGGAATGGGTGAGGATGTTAATACATTTTATTTTAAAACTGTTAAAATGGTAACTGTAAAAATGGTAACTCCTTTGTATAACTACTTTTAAAATAATTTGAAAAATAAATTAAATCATGAGTAAATTAAAAATAATTTGTTTAATTTAGACAGTAAATTGCAACTTTGGCTATATACCAATGGAATCACCAGAAAGGTATCAATAAAACCACTTAGACCTATGTCCAGCTCCCATGCCTAGTGATTTTAATTTCATCAGCTTGAGCACAGGAATTTTACAAAGTTTTCTGAGTGACTATGTTGCAATTAAGCTGAAGTCCACACAGCTACTTGGAAGAGACAGGGTTCAGATTTATGTTGCTTTTTCACTACCAAATAATTGTACTTAATTACGCATCACCTGTTAAGATGCTATAATTATTTTTACACGCATACATTGTCACCCTTAAACTTGAATATCAGTTATTGAGATTCAATATTACAGCTAAGACTATGGGCTCTGGAGAAGGTCATTGAGCTTAACCTGGTTCCACCACCTCCTTGTTAGAATCAATAAATTACTTAAGCTTTCTGAACTTCAGTTAAAAAATGATAACAGAGTTGTTCTGAGGTTTAAAAAAATAAGCAAAGATATGGAAGCACTTAAATTAATCTTGGCATTCAGGAATATCATAAAAACTGTTAGTTATTTTTAAATTATCTTGGTTTTTTAATGCCAATAGCAGATAACACTTTAATAGGATAGATGCTTAATGCTTTCAATTAAAATACACAAGAGACCTGTGTGTATAGAAATGGAGTACCATTTGCCATTGCTGAAACGATGTAGAATGTACTTAGTGGGAAGACATTCAATAGGGCACTTTTTTTGGCATTCTTATCACACTTAAGAAGCAAATTAAAGAAAGCCAGTATTGCACCTGCGTTTCTTTTGAATTTCTGGTCTGTATTTCTGCTTCAGTTGACAGTATGTCACTAATGTGGTTCTGTTGTACACATTCTTCCCTCCACTGCCATTCATAATCCTCTCATCTCCTGTCACTTTTATTTCTTTTTTCTCACTTACTTTCTGTTCATATGCTTATACTTTTTTCCTTTGGCCAGTTAGTAACAGCTGTAAACTAGATTCCCTTTTCTATTTTATTATTTATACCTATTATTTTTACACAAGCCCTCACATATACAAGTCTGATACCTCCATGGTTCCTGACTATAAATTTACCTTATTCATGGCCTGAAGGTAGAAATTCTACCAACTAAAATTCATAACACACCAGAGATTTTTTTCTAGGAGAATACAAATACTACCTTTTCTTTATAATTGGGAAAATTTGCCAGTCACTAAAGGTAAATATAACATTAACTGTGCCCTTTATATACATTACTCTATTCTGTGCTCATAGTGGTCATGTGAGAACACTGAACAGATAAGAAATAAAAGAGACTAGTTAGTAAAGGCTAAAGATTCTTGCTGAACAGACTGTCAGTCAAATTAAGAACTAATAGCTCATCTCCAAAATAATATATCATTGAAATACTTACAGAGTATTCTTAATGTCTTAAATCTCTTGAGAGCAAGGACTATACCTATTATTGGACTGAAAATCTAAATGCATTGGATTACTAAGTATTCAAAGCCACTGATGATTTGAGAAACTCCTAGTGTACTCTGATCCTACTGACATGCTTAGTGATTGAAAGTAAGTCATGGTTGAGTGGTATCTGAGTACTTAGGATACTTTTTATAAGTATATGGCTCCATGTAACAGAGCTTATACTTGAAGTCATCATGAATGTGTTGTGTTGAATCAATACTATATGTATCTCTTCTATTTGGTTGGCAGGTAGCCATTTATGAGCCCAGTGGATTGATATGATAAGATCAAATCTTCTCACAGTAACTGCTATAGTTGTGTGCCATATACTGAGTTCTAAAGCTACTTGCAAGCCACTGTTTCACAGGTAGACACCTAATCAATGGAAGTTTTGCCATCTGTTCCAGGTCAGTGGATTGTGCCTTGCCTAAGCTGTTCAGACAACCGGACCTGTGACTGGAGAGAAATAACTTGGCAGCCCCACAACTGCCAACATGCTATCCTAACTAAGCCTCAACTTCAGCAGTGTCTGGGAGGAAGGAAGGTAGGTTCTAGATTCAGCCAAAGAAGTCTTGAGGTCTTACCACCTGCAGCACTAAAATCCATACAGTTGCATCTGCTAGACCAATTTCTGCTCTTTTCCTCTTCAGAGAAAAACTAATCCAATGCAATTTGGATTTTGGAATGATGTGTGAATATGATCATAGAAGAGCTTTAATAATTCTTGCTCAAGATATTGATTTCACTCCACATCAGTCAATTTGACAAGTGGTGGAGGATATTAAAGTTGTGTCCTGCGTAGACCAATCCCTTGCTGTTGCCACAGCATATATTGGTAAGAGCTTCCCATGCCAACTTACGGTTGGCAGTTCAGAACAGCCAGCCTTGTCACCTGTGGCTGTAGTAGGCACTGCTGCTGAAACAAAGATCTGTAGCTCAGCCCAAGAAATCCAGTGTTCTTGCATGCCAGACTCACTACTAGAGCTTACCAAGTGCATGGCATTGTGTTTAACCCTCTAACCTTGCTGATGTTTTTTCACATTCCTGGGCAGGTCTCACGTGGGCCTCACTGGGCTGGTTTTCCCTTTAGTGAGGCTTCTAAGCTGATTTCTGGGACTTGCAGTGTCTTCTTGCTAGGCATGCTCTGAATAGATAGAGTCCGGCAGAACTCTCAGATATGCGAAATGGGCACATAGACTGAGATGCTTGGTTATCATCAAGTAAGTAATCTTAACTAGACTTTCAAAGTGTTTTGATTAGATGGACATGTCTTTCCTTGTGTACTGTTATATAAGCTGTCATATCTGGACAAGCCTGATTTCAAGAGCTGATTTTTTTTTCTGAAATGGCATTAAAATTTTTGTTTAGACATGGATTGGTTAAGAAGTGTACTCATTCCCTTGCCCATGTAATTGTAACCCCTCGGTACGGTATTTTCACAATAAAAAAAAGACAAAAAACACGGGTTAGACTTCTCTAATAAAAATTAGATTAAGAATAACAGGAGGCAAAAGGTAAGACAAGAAGTTAGGTAACTTCTTCATGATGTCAGTAGAAAAGCACCAACTTCCATGGTTGAGAATATGTGTAATGGTAAAGCAACAATATTGGTTTTTTAACAGGAAAAGGGAAGAAAATAAAAGCTATTTAGAAACATTCTCATACAGTAGGTCTTTCCAAAAGTTAGGGTTTGTGGGGGCAGGGAGTATATCTAATCCCTGCTATAATCTCATTGCTTCAAGCGACTTAAAATTGATTGTATCTATCTTCTACATAAGGAAATTAAAGTTCAAAGAGATGGAATAATTCACTGGAGGTCATACAAGCTTCCAAGTGGTTGTGTTTCATGCCTCACACATTTCTAACCACCAACACAGACAGTCCAGCGTCCACACCTTAGACATAGACCCCCATCTAAGCACCGGGGCTCAGGGGCAATAGATGTTGCAATAGCAGCCTAATATCTCTAAACTCCAAATGCCATTCTGACCTCAGAATTTAGAATATTCAAGACCATTCCAAGGAGACGCCAGAGTCCATTAACCTGGAGAGCAGTGGATCACTACCCCATTGGACATGACATGTTTTATTTTTCAGGCTCATTCTCTTCATCTATAAAATGATAACCGTCCACTTTCGATTAATCGACTTTGTAAGAAGCTAAAGACCTTCTTCCCTGTCTGGTTTAGCAGTAATAAAATTCCATAGAATAGGTGGTTTAAGCAACGGACATTTGTTTCTCATAGTTCTGGGTTGTAGATTCCGAGATCATCATGGTCAGGATTTAGTAGCTTCCATCTTTGCACGACAGACAGAGAGAAAGTATTCTGATCTCTTTTTCATATGATGTGAACCCCAGTTACATCAATTAGGCTTTCCTTGCATCATTTATCTAATAAGTATAATCACCACCTAAAGACTCCACTTGACACAAGAACACTGGCAATTACCATTTCAACATAGGAATTTGGAAGGGACAGAAACATTTCGTCCATGACAGTGTCTGGTAAGACTGATTCCTAACAACTATACGAAGGAATGGTAAAAAGGAATTGTCCCTTTTTTTCTTTAAGAAAAGTGTTACAAAACCTGAAAACCAAAGCCGGGTGCTGGTGGCTCATGCCTGTAATCCTAGCTACTCAGGAGGCTGAGATCTGAGGATCAGGGTTCAAAGCCAGCCAGGGTAAGAAAGTCCTTGAGACTCCTATCTCCAATAAACCATCAGAAAACCCGAAGTGGTGCTGTGGCTCAAGCGGAAGAGCGCTTGCCTTGAGCTGAAGAGCACAGGGACAGCACCCAGGCCCAGAGTTCAAGCCCCACTACCAAAAAAAAATCTGAAGACTGAAACCCATGGTTAGATTAGGTTAGCAGAGAGCAACTGTCACCTTAGCAAAGAGCCAAGTATCTCTCCAAAGGGCTAGTATCTCGCCTAGTGTGCAGGCCTCTTGCAGACAAGCATGTTCAAAGATAAATAGCATTGGCCCCCATAAAGTCTGATTTGTTTACTTAGAAGCTCATTTATTTTATACACAACAGGGAAGCACCTTCCATTTTTAGAAAAGAGTGGCATAACCAGAAGTAGGAAAAAAAATCATCTCACAGCAATATGGAGACTGCCTAAAAGAAAGCAATGGATACTAAGGAAACAGAAGTTGCTTAATGGAAAATATCCAACAAGCAGTACTACAAAGGCAAAGCAAGGGTTACCCAGGCAAAGAATATATTCAGCTTTGTAAAAATGAATACAGATGTACAAATATGATTACACACGGGGTAAACTTTTAGAAATAGCAAACAGGTAAGAATAAATGCATGGGTAGAAGAGAGTGGGAGAAGGGGAGGGTGCAAAATAGAAATGCCAGACTCTATAGTCACAAATTACTAAACATTTCAAGACAATAGTATATCAATGAACCAAACACAGAATGCTTGCAAGCATAGGCAGGTCTAAAGCTCATGAAACCAGCTTCGGTAGGAAAGCCAGAATGGTGTCCTGGGACAAGATTTTTTTGAAGTGTTTCCGTATTGTTTTCAGTTTCATAATGTGTGAAAATCCACCTAAAAGTCTCTATTTGGGGGATGGAGGTATAGTTTAATGGTAGAGCACTTTTCTAGCATGCATAAAAATCGTGGGTTTTGCAACACCACAAATGAGTAAATATAAATATAAACAAATACAAAATCAGAACAGGCAGAGAATCAGTGGAAATGCCAACTTGGGAGAGCCTAACAGATAATTTCTATTCAGAATTGCAGGTGCTTATAATACTAATGAGCTTCAGAATACAGGGATAGATTTGTAAGCATTTCCAGTTGAACTATTATACAGCACCTACTTGAACAAGACTTCATTTATGAATTGGAGTAGGTGAGGCAAAGGTTTTCCTAGTACATTTGTTCCTCCATGAGAACAATAAAAATACATCCAGTGATCCTGTTTCCTTTTAGGCAGTCTCCATACCTCTGTGAGATGAATTATTTTTCTACTTCTGGTTATGACACTCTTTTGCTAAAAATGGAAATGTATTCATTACAAAGTTTTCATCCCACCTAGAATTTCTTATCATCACCTTGCTACTCCAAAGACAAATGTTAAAGCAGGGCAATTTTAAAAATAAAAATTAAATATATAAATATTTCGGTATTTTTCTATTACAGTCAACTAATGACATTATTTGCCTCTTTTCCTACTGTGTCAAATGCTCAAGAAAACAAACACTTTATGTAAGCTCTGTTACACAAACTTTATATGGTGCATGGAGAGCATGGTAGTAATGAAGTATGAAGAGCCTGAAATTAACCATCAGGAAGTCTGAGATACACAGTTCCCACCAGTTGAAATGATTTTTTTTAGCATTATTGGGTCTTGAATCTGGATATTTATTCTTGTTGGAAAGATGCTCTAGTGGTTGATCCATGACTCTAGTACTTTTTCTGCTCTGGTTATTTTTGAGATAGGGTCTCTATTGTTGGCCCAACTGGTCTGGATCTGCAATTCTTTCTAAACCACACAGCTAGGATGACAGGCATTTCCACCATGCCCAGCCACTTGTTGAGGTGGAAACTTGCAAACATTTTTTGTGCCAGGCCCTCCAGAACTTGGGTTAAAGTTATGATCCACCAGCACCTAACAAGCAGTAAAGTAATATTTTATTCATTAAATTTACCAGATTAATCCTGTTGCCATATCAGAAATATCACAGTATCCATTATCCCATGTTACCACAGAATCCAGTGACCATTAACAAAGTTAAATGTGTAATATAAGTTACAACTTTTGTGATGCCTCCATTTAACCTTTTTAGAGGTAGAAGTCTGACGTGTAAGTTAACAACAGGTTACCTCATAATGCTATATTTCTGATGAAAGAACAATTAAGAGAAACAAACATTGCTGTATGGCATGATAGAACAATAGTAGGGAGATGCTCACACTGGAAATCCTACATACTTGTGATGCCAGGCATGTGCCACCAGGCCCAACTATTGGTTGAGAAGGAGTCTTGCAAACATTTTGCTAGGGTTGACCCTGAACCATGATCCTCTAAAGCTAGGATTACAGGCATGATAATGGCATTAATAAGAAGCTTAGAGCTGGATGCAAGATCTAGAGTGGAAGGATCTAGAAGAGTTGCTAGGCAGATGGTGGCTAGGCAGAACAGCATTTAAGATTTGAAGTGATCTGTGGGAATGAATGGGAGGTTTGCTGATTAAGGGATAGGGAACCAGCAGGTGAGAAAGCACTGGAGACAATTCCAAGGTGCTCATTTCTCAGGAACTTCTGTTTACCTACACACCTCGGATGTGATAGGGCCCACAGCTAAATGTGTAACTTCTAGTAACCTGACTAACTTGAAGACCTTCAATTAGTATGAAAAGCTTAGTTTTTTTTAACAGTAAGGCCCCAATTTTTTTGTTGCCCTAAACAAATAGTTCAAATGTACTGGGCTACAAAAAAGCCAATTAAATCCAATTCTGGAAACCATAAGCTTTTGGAAAGATGCTAAACTGAATTATATTTCTCCAAAGAATCAACTTTAAAGGT